AGGCCCGCACGCAGCAACCTCCTGAGCCGAGGGGCTTCGCGGGCCGGCCCCCTCCCGGGCGCCCCTCCGCCGCCCTCCCCCCTCGCCCTCCCTCTTCTCCAGCCCCTCCTTGTCTTCCCCGGCCGCATGCCAGCCGGAGGAGGGTGACAGCCCAGACTTTGTGACGCCTGCCCTGCAGAGCACAGCTCCAAGGGCTCTTCTCACAGCAACCGTCCACCTTCTCAACACCTTCGCCCTCCCCGAAGCTTCTTTTTTTTTTTAGTTGGAGTCTCACTCAGTCGCCCAGACTGGAGTGCAGTGGCCACTCCCGGCCACCGCAGCCTCGACCTGCTGGGCTCCGGCGGTCCTCCTGCCTCAGCCTTCTGAGTAGGCGGAATTACAGGCGCGCGCTACCACGCCCGGCTGATTTTTTTATTTATTGTCGAGATGAGGTCTCGCTGCCCAGGCGGGTCCCGAACCCGCAGGCTCAGGCCATCCACTCACCTCGGCCTCCCAAAGGCGCGGGATGACGGGCTGAGCCACTGATGCTGCATTCCCCCGTCACTTTCCCTGTCACGCCGGCACTCTCAGCTCTCACCCTGAAGACCTTGTCCCCTTGTCATGCTGGGTGTTGTTGAGCTGTATGGTTTATTATTACGTCTGCTTCCTCCCACGTGAAGGCAAGCCCCATCAGAGCAGTCGTGCTGCCTGCCTCAACCGATCCAGCCCTCATTCCCAAGATAGTGCCTGGGACATGGCAGGTCCTGGGAGAGCGGCCACGTGAATTAGTCAGGGCCGCTTTGCAGAGGAGCAGAGAAGCCCAGCAACTCGCCCAAGGACACACAGCTGGCAAGAGACAGCATGAGGACTCCAGCCCAGATCCCCTGACTGACTGTTGTCTGCATGCTTAAGCACCTCTAGGAAAGAAAAGGAAAAAAAAAGAAACAGGGAATCTGTCTTTTTAGCCCATCCTGAAGTTTAGAAAACACTTTTGTGTGGTTGGGTTTTGGTTCTCGCAAGCTGTACCGCAGCCCACGCGGGAGGGAGCCCAGGCACTGTTATGAGTTCCCTTTTATAGCTGAGCAAATTGAGGTTGAGGCAGACCAAGCAACGAGCTGGATGACCCAGCCCAGACAGTCTGTCCCTAGGGAGGTGCAGGGGGACTGACGGATTCCAACCCCCCACCTGCCAGCGAGTTGCCCACACAAACCTTGCCACTCCTTCTGACAGGAAGAGGATTCAGTGGACCCCTGGCCCGCGAGTCTGCTCCTTTGACAGTTCCCTCCGCCCCTGAGGGCCCTAGCTCTGCTCAGAGGAAGCAGGAGGGCCTGGTGCTCTCGCCCTATTACTGAGAAGGAACAGATCCTCTGGGAAGGCCCGAGGCAGGGCCGGGGGAGGACAGCCCATCTCCAGATGTCCAGATGTCTGTCTTAGAGGAGGGAGAGGTGGCTTCAGGCGTCGAGTCTCCCGCGATGTGCAGTCACCCAGGCCTCTCGCTCCCTGCTCCCAGACACTGGACAGCCACCCCTTCTGGTGGCATCCCCCCGCCCTTCGGGCCCCACCTTCTCCTCTCGGTCCACAACCTGGCTGCGTCCGTCCGAGAGAGGCGGGAGACAGAGCAGAGAGGGGTCCCAGCTTACCGTCGGCTTCAATCCCCGAACAAGGGCAGCCTGTTCCCTGGCAGCTGCCGAGGCCCTGTTTATATCCGGGGGGGATGTTCCCTGCACAGGCTGGGGGCGGGGGGCGTCCCGTCATTGGGCCAGCCCACAGGCTGGCGCAGCTCACGTGGGCACCCCTTCCAGGAAGTCCCAGCGATCAATGCCGCTTCACTGTGGGACAGCGTGACCCAGAGCAGCCCCGGTTACACATTTACCGAAGCTTGCGGGGACAGAGGTCACCAGACGTGCGTCCCCCAAGCCTCCCCACCCCCGAGGTGTGCTCCTGAGAGGCCATGGGGTCATGCTGGCCGGGCCTGGGGGCTGGAGGCAGGGGAAAGGACCCCGCTCGGGCAGCCTGGAGGCTGCTCTTGATCCTGCTTGATGGGACCTTGAGTGGCTCCAGACAGCTGAGAGGCTCCTACCCGCCCCCCCAGGGCCTTTCATGGGCATTGGGAAAACAGCACAGGCCATGAAAAGTGCCTTCTGAGGGCCTACAGTTCGGCGGAAAAGACCGTCAAACACCAGCAACGGTGAGGCTAAAAGGCACCCACAAAATGCTTTCAGAGCCGGGCTCGGTGGCTCAACCTGTAATCCCGCGCCTTTGGGAGGTTGAGGTGAGTGGATTGCCTGAGCCCGCGGGTTCGAGACCCACCTGGGCAACTTGGTGAAACATCATCTCTACAGTAAATCAAAAATGAGCCGGGCGTGGTAGCGCGCACCTGTAATTCCGGCTGCTCGGAAGGCGGCGGCGGAAGGATCGCCGGAGCCCGGCAGGTCGAGGCTGCGGTGGCCGGGAGCGGCCACTGCACTCCAGTCTTGGCAGCAGAGTGAGACTCCAACTCAAACAAAAGAAAACAAAATGCTTTCAGGTTGCAGAAAGCTAGGGAGGGTTTCGGGGAGCATGTTGGCACCGCAACCGAAGGGTAAGTTGGACTGAGGAGTTGAGGAGGGCTTTCCCGAGGGAAAGGCCTGAGCACTTGAGCAACACTCGCAAAGACCGGGGGGACACAGGCGGGGGCCCAAGAGCGCCCCGGTATTGGAAGGGAAGGCAGTGGTAGCAGAGACCTGGCCAGGTTGTTGCTACCATTGCCTGCCACCCATGGGCAGCGTCAGGTGATGCAATGGCCGTCGTCTTTCATGCTGGGCCACAGGGACAGACGGCCAAGCAGCTGTGGTTGACATGCAGGAGGAAACCTGCCCACCCTCCAGATCCAGGTGGGGGCCGTGAACAGGGCAGA